TCCTCCTGGGCTTTGGCGGCGTTTCTGACCGCTTTGCTTCTGTTCCGCGGCGCCGCGGCGTCGCCGTTTTGACGAGTGGGTCGCAGGGCTAAGCGCCGAACGGGTGCGCCGGACAAACCTGCAAAGAAGCGAGTGGGGTGGCAAGTCAGAGGACATGCTCGGCGACGACTAAGTCGCGACTCCTCCTGGGCTTTGGCGGCGTTTCTGACCGCTTTGCTTCTGTTCCGCGGCGCCGCGGCGTCGCCGTTTTGACGAGTGGGTCGCAGGGCTAAGCGCCGAACGGGTGCGCCGGACAAACCTGCAAAGAAGCGAGTGGGGTGGCAAGTCAGAGGACATGCTCGGCGACGACTAAGTCGGAAGGAAGTCTCAAATCTGAAAGGGGAACGCAAGGCAGCCTTTCCTTTGGCAGGATATGTTGGACGTGCCCCCACCCGTCAAAGCGCACCCTTGCGACGACGACGGTTTTCGTCGCGCGACCAATCGCAGAAAAGACGTCGGCTCCGAGGTTCGCGACGCGAGCCCCAAGGCACTTTGACGTCAATTCCAGTCGAGGGCCGGGCAACGGGGGAGAAAACGGCTGCAAACGGACGGCGTCGCCGACGCGATATTGATCAAGTGTACCAAGCGGAGACGAGCGGGGGCAGGCGCATGCAACATTTTGGCCCGGAGTTCAACCGCGGTCAAGTCACCCGCACGTCTCCAGCACAGTCGGCGAGTCAACAGGTCCGCCTGAACGCCGACGTCTCGACTCTGGGCGACGTCGCTCTGACAGGCGACCTCGCGGGTCCCGCCCGCCGGCGCCTCCCATTGACAGGCCGCCTCCCGCCACCTCCTCACCAGGATGCGCAGCTCGCTTCCACCTCCGGGCGGCGCCGCGGCCACCGCCGCCATCGCCATCCTAAAGGTAACGCACAGACAACGCAAGATCAGAATGGGATGGCCCCGATCACTCGTTTCCTCTGGGACATTTTTTGACCCGACTGTCGCGCCAATGGAAAAGGTTCTGCCAGCTGAGCTTTCCAGCGGAAGTGTGTCACACCTTTTCGTGCAGAAGTTCCATTCATATTTTTACAGATTGTGAAGAAAGGTGACGTATACACAGTTTCGGCGCCTGTTTTTTTTTAAATCACCTGTAAACGATATCAAAGGTGTTTTGGGAGCACAAGTTTGGTTGGGTTTCGAGATTTAACTATCCGTAAAGGCAATGACCCATTATTTGCACTATATATATATACATATATGTGTGTGTGTGTGTGTATGCCTACATCAGATGCTCACGCTATCGAGTGTACGTGTGCAACACGGGTCACCTTCCAAGTGTGTAGGATGTGAAAAGGTTTGTATGGTCATGTACGTCACTTGCCCCCCCAAAAAAATCTTTTTACACTTTAAGTGGAATTTATTATGATCTTTTCTGCTGCTTTTTCATTTGCGTAACGTGCTATGCATATGTATGTATTTCTTTCTTTCTTTCATTGGGGGGCGGTGCACATTAATCAACACAAGAATAAACGGTGCCAATGCGTCGGACTTAGCAAAAAGGATCTTTTTCAGTCGTAGTCCCGAGGTAGGTTTCCAAAATAGCACAGTGAGACGCATCCAAATTTATAACCGCGATGACAGAAATAAAAACCGAATAGGTTCGACATCATGAAAGAAACGATCCAATCTGTTGCGGTACTCGGATTACAGGACAGAGAGCTGCACATTTGCTGGCCACAAGCCCACTGGAACGGGCTGGAGTCTGGAAACGCGCTTTAATGGCTTGCACGTCTGATGTATTTTGAAAAGTAGAAAGTTATCACAGGATCCAAATCCATCAATAACCCCCCCCCCCCCACTAGAAAACCCCGATTGAGTCATGGATGACTTCATGTTGAAGAATGAGTGAACGAAGGCACGTGTGACATCAAGCGAACGTTTTAGCGCAGCGTCAAAGTGAAATTCAAGTCTTGTTTGCCGAGTGTTGAAAGTGTTCTGAGCGTTAGCCGAAGAATAATAAAGTCACACTGGAGAAGAATTAAGTGCAAGTGATGGCTTGAACAAGAAGTCAACTTTGCGCTGGATGAAACTACGAGCGGCTTCATGCTAACAGCGCAGGCACAACGAAAAAGAACGAGAAGAAGGAGCCGAATAATTGTGTTGCGTTCTTACTCGCGTCAAGCAGTCTGACGGCGGAAGGGGGAAAAAGATAACCCCTGGCCCCCACCCCCAAAAAATAGATATATTTATCAATAAATCCAATTCAATTCAAACACGATTGTTGAAGAAACGCAACCGAACAAGGCTACACCGCATCCAAGCAGCCCACATCCTTGTCGTCTTCTTCTTCGTCGTCGGCTCCTTTTTGTTCTTTGTCTTCTTCGGCAGTGGATTCCTCGAGTCTTTTGGTTCACGTGCGCCTCCTAGCGGGCCATGGGCTCGAAATTATCATGAGTCGAGGTCGTTTTTTCTTTCTTCCGTTCTTTCTTTCTTTCTTTCTTTCTTTCTTTCTTTCTTTCAAAGGATGTTAACGCATAAACTGACAACATGCCGTGAGGAAACCACGTCTATTACTAAACATTTTAAAGCATGTTATCATGTCTTTAAGTGCAACAAGTGCTTGCTCACAAATCAATACATGCGCATACACGCGCACACAAGTCATCCGTTTTTGTGTGTTGTTTTTTTTTTTTTTTTTTTTGGTCAAATTATAACGTCACCTTGACACATCGCAAGGTGGAAATGCTGACAAAAATTTGGATCGTCAGATAGATGATTGACCGTTGGCAGATGATGTGGGTAACAGAATACGAACACGATAACGTGAAAGTACTGTAACCTGATAGCTTGATAAGACGACGACTTGAAAAAAAAAGCATGCCGGATGAAAGCAGGGCCAGGACCGGCGATGAGAATGCGCTCAATGGGCGCGGCCTTGTTACCGGTTGTCTTCAAAAGCGTGACGTCTTCGACGATGGTCGATCGCTGGACGCGGGTGTCGGCAGGAAAGTTTGCTGACCGCGTGGGAAAAAGCCAAAGGGACACCTGAGACGTCGGTCCACTATCAACAAACCGTCGGCCATTGGAGTGTCTGGTTCCGGTTTGGACGCTTAGAAGTGGCAGAAAAGCGACGAGAACATGCTGAGCCAAGGACGTTTCAGATGCACCGATAAGATGGGTAAGTAAGCCGTTTTTGACAGCCAAAAAGGACGACCGTGTACAGAAAGGCGTTTTGAACCCAAAAGACACATACATGCTCGTCGTTTTTAGGAGTAAGAAAGGCCCTACGATACATGCTCGTCTTTTTTGGCTGGAAAAAACGCCTGACGATACATGGTCGTCTTTTTTAGTTTTAAAAAACGCCTTGCTTTACATAGTCTTTAAAAAAAAAAAGGATTTATTTATTGTGAACAACGCCTTACTATACATGGTCGTTTTTTGTTGTGATAAACGCTTTCCTAAACTGAAAAAGTACTTAAATTTTTTTTATTAAAAACATTTTTTTTAAGGTCTTATATAGGGACAATGCACTGACATTTTGACCTGCCTGATAGTCGAATGGTAAGTGCGTCTGCGTCATAGAGCAGAGATGCAGGGTTCGATTCCTGCTCTGGCCTTTTCTGTGTGAAGTTGCACGTTCTCACCGAACCCCTGCGCAGGTTTCCAAAAACGTGCGGAGTCTTCTCTTCCTCTTCTCCGCACATCTCTTCGTGCTCACACTCACACATAATCAAAATGTAGAGTGCTCATTACCTGCCTGGTAGTCAAATAGTGAGTTTGTCTGCGGAGGGGTGCAGGGTTCAATTCCGGTTAGGCCTTACATTGTGTTCTCAAAAATATCCGGAGCCGTCCATTTTTTTTTGTTCCTCTTCGCCCTCACACCAGGAACAATTCACAAAACGCCTTACGACACATGGTCTTTTTTGTCGGCTAAAAACGCCTTAAAAAAAGGACAGTAAGACCTTTTTAGACGAAAAAAACGACCATGTATAGTAAGGCGTTTTTAGCCGAAAAAAAACGCCCATGTATAGGAAGGCGTTTTTAGCCGAAAAAACGACCATGTATAGTAAGGCGTTTTTAGCCGAAAAAAAACGACCATGTTTAGTAAGGCTTTTTTAGCCGAAAAAACGACCATGAATACTAAGGCGTTTTTAGCCGAAAAAACGACCATGTACAGTAAGGCGTTTTTAGCCGAAAAAACGACCATGAATACTAAGGCGTTTTTAGCCGAAAAAAC